AACAGCTGAAGGTATTGGTGATGTTTTGATTATGAGGAAAGATGGCAAGAGGTTTGTAATTTTTAATGTGTTATACATATCAGGCATAAAGAGTAATTTGCGCAACATAGGGCAGTTGGTCTAAAAGAACTACAAGGTGTCGATCGAAGATAAGAAGATAAGAGTTCTCAACTCAGGAGGAAGGTTATCTTGAAGGCTTCCATGTCTCAAAATAGAACCTTCAAGATTGAGCTTAATGTGATGGAGCATAAGTGCTTTGCAACTGCAGCCAATAGAGATGAATGGATATGGCATTATCGATTTGGTCATCTCAACTCCAAAGACATTAGAGATTTGAAGAGAATAAATATGGTTTCAAGATTACCAGAAATTGACATTCCAAGCAAAGTGTGTGAAGAATGTGTTCAGGCAAAAAAACACAAGAATAGCTTCAGCAAGGATGCAGGAAGCAAGTCAAAGGCAATTCTTGAAGTCATATACTCTGATGTATGTGGTCATATCCAGGTGGATTTGATTGGAGGTAACAGATACTTTGTCACGTTCATTGATGATTTCAGTCGAAAACTATGGACTTACCTGATCAAGAAGAAAAGTGAAGTGATAGAGGTATTTGCCAAATTTAAATCTATGGTCGAAAGACAAAGTGGTCGAAAGATAAAGATTCTGAGGACTGATGATGGTGGAGAGTATGCGTCGAAATATTTTGATGCATTATGTGAGAAAGAAGGGATTGTGCATGAGGTGGTTCTACCCTACACTCTACAACAGAATGGAACTGCAAAAAGAAAGAATATAACCATCATGAATATGGTGAGAAGTATGTTGAAAGGCAAACTTCTACTTAAAGAATTATGGGGAGAAGTTGTGTCGACTGCAACATACATCTTGAATAGATGTCCGACGAAGAAGTTAAAAGGAATTACGCTAGAATAATGTTGGTATGATGTCAATCCTAGCCTAAGTCATTTGAAGGTGTTTGGATCTATAGCACATAGACATGTGCCATATCAGTTGAGAAGAAAACTTGATGACAAGTCGAGTAAAATGATCTTGATAGGATATCATTTGATAGGAGGATACAAGTTGTTCGACCCAGTGAAAAAGAAAGTTGTGATCAGCAAGGACGTGATCATAGTTGAGCTTAAGGAATGGGATTAAACTGAGAATGTTAAGAAGTATTCAGTGAGAATCTTATGTGAAGAATCATCTAGTGAAGTCGAAAGAGAAGTTCGACAAGAAGAAGTCAGAGGTGAAGCAGGCTTAAGCATACCTCAACGAATAAGACACATGTCTGTAAGGTTGCAAGAATGTATGATTACATAAGATGGTGTGGTCAATGAAGAATGTGAGATGGTACACTATGCTTTTTACGCAAATGTCGAACCAGTCAATGCAGCTGAGACATTGAAAGATTCAAAGTGGGTGAAAGTAATAAACGAGGAACTAGAGTCCATCGAAGTCAACAACACTTGGTCACTTGTCGAATTTCCTCAAGGCAAGAAGGAAATCAATTTGAAGTGGGTATACAAGGTAAAGTTTAATCCCAAAGGAGAAGTAATTCGACACAAGGGAAGACATGTAGCAAAAGGATTTCTTCATAAGGAAGGAATCGACTTCGACGAAGTTTTTGCACCTGTTGCTAGGATTGAAACAATCAGGTTGGTTGTTGGTCTAGCAAACATGAACAAATGGCAGGTATGCCAAATGGATGTGAAATATGCATTCCTGAATGACCCCTTAGATGAAGAAGTTTATGTCGCACAACTGGTTGGGTTTGTGAAACAAGGCGAAGGAAGAAAGGTGTACAGGTTGCATAAAGCCCTGTATGGACTTAAGTAAGCTCCAAAAGCTTGGAATAAGAAGATCGATAGCTTTCTAAGGGAGAAAGAATTCGTGAAGTGCACAAATGAGCATGGAGTATATGTAAAGAGAAGCAATAGTGAATTATTTATACTATATCTCTATGTCGATGACCTGTTAATAACAGAAAGTTACAATAAGGAGATTGAAGATTTCAAACATGACCTAAGTTAGGAGTTTGAAATGTCAGACTTGAGATATCTCTCATATTTCCTTGGCATCTAATTCTACAAAAGTGGCAGAGGTTTGATGATGCACCAAAGAAGATATGCAGGCGTAATACTCAAGAGATTTGAGATGGAAGATTGCAATCCAACTTCGACTCTAGCTGAGCCCAGATTGCAACTATCGAAAGATTCAGATGAAGATCATGTCAACCCAACCCAATATAGAAGACTTATTGGGTCACTTTGATACCTTTGTAACATAAGGCCTGACTTAGCATATTGTGTGGGTATGGTAAGTAGATTCATGCAGAAGCCAAAGGTATCAAACCTAGTAGCGACAAAGAGGATACTAAGGTATCTGAAAGGAACTCTCGACTACGACATTTTGTTCCTACAGATGATGAAGTAAAATAATGCAAGTTAGTGGAATACACAGACTCAAGTTGGTGTAGTGATGCTGAGGATACAAAATCCACAGCTGGCTATGTGTTTATGCTAGGTGGTGCACCAGTTGCTTGGAGTTCAAGAAAGGAGCAAATAGTGACATTGTCATCATGCGAAGCAAAATACAAGCTGATTTTTTGTGTGCATGTTAAGTAACGTGAATGGTAAATCTGCTTGAAGAGATTACAACAAATAGTCATGAAGTAATCACCATGAAGATCTACAACAAGTCAGCTATCAATCTGGCGAAGAATCCAATAGCACATGGACGAAGCAAGCACATCGAAATGAGGTTCAATTATATCTGAGAGCAGGTAGCAGAAGGGAAGATAAACTTGGAACATTGCAGAACTGAGAATCAGATTGCATATATCATGACGAAAGGAGTGCAAGTCGAAGTGTTCAAGAAGATAAGGTCTATGATGAATATAGATAGCTTAGACACAATGAATTAGGTGGTGTGTTGAGATTTTAATTCTTTGTGTTGAAGCAGTGTAGCTCGACAGAAACAAGGATTAGTCGAAATTAGCCTAATGTGTGTGTGTGTGTGTGTGTGTCGAGTTCTTTAGATGCCGAAGTGTCGAAGCAGGTTGCTTGACACAAAATTTTGACTTAGACCAAAATAGTAATTTTGGGCTTTCTTTAATTATAAATAGAGAGAGTAACCCCTATTTTTATAATAACTTGTATTCGCAGAATTTTGCAGTTGCAAAGTGAATAAGAGAATTTCCACAATTTATGGACAGAGAGAAACTCCGCATAAAATCATCATCTTCTTCAATTTTTCGTCAAACCCTAACTTTCTTTTTTATTCAATTTTCTTTTTTCTTCCATTAACAGTTACTGCGCATAATATTTCTTGCAAAAAAGGTGTGATTTTTACTCAAGTAAAGAGTGAAGAATATTGGTTTTGATCAAGTTGATTGAATCTTGTTTATCAAGATTGATTAGGAATTCTCAAAAGGTTTTGGGTTAATTTCAACACTGTTTGGAATCCCTCTTTCCAAATTTCATCCTATAACCTTTTTAAAATTTGCTTTTGGCTTAATGAATTGATTATTGCCTCTTATAGTAAGTTATAGACTTTTCTTCTTGTTCTATAACTCCTTTTAGTCACGAGATGAGTTCATTCTAATTTAACTAAAGTGGTTGAAGAAAATGAAAAGTTTATTATTTAGCTAATTTAACAGATTTCAGAAATATATTTCTAAAATTTTTCGGAGATATATTTCTGAAATAAATTTATTAATATAATTGGATTATGACTCAAAAACAATTGAAATACATATATTAAAATGCGTCCGGATATATATCTTCGAAAACAAAAAATAATTTTAAAATTTTGCATGATGTCTAAGAAACAATTAGACTGCGATAAAAAATGTTCTTTATGCTTTTGCAAAATTTTAAAGAAAATATGTTGTGCCTTTGTACGCAAGCTCTGTTATCGCCGAACCCAATCAATCATGATATATTTATATTAGGAATTAGGATCATATCAATTCAAACATTTATATCAAATTTTCTCTTTTTATTATTCTTTATTATTTCTCTATTATTTTCTATTCATTTTTTTTCTTCTCTTTATTAAGAGAGATGAGAGATTTGAAAGGACTGAAGGAGTATTCAAATCTGTCGTGGCAAGTAACAATTGTTCGCTAGTTTTCTTCCTATATTTTCGTCATAATTACATATTCATGTTATGAACACTTTGATGTTAAATTAAATTAATAACAATTAATCAATATATATATATATATATATATATATATATATATATATATATATATATATATATAAAAAATTATAATATATAATTTAGATACGAAAATTAAGTATGTATAAAATTAAAGGATCTATAAAATAATTTTGAAATATTTGTATCATTGAGAAAAACTCCTTTGACGATAACCCTAAAACACACAAGTTGATGACTTTTCTGTTTCTTCTTCAACCGGTACTCTTTATGCTTTGAATAGTTCATGACTTTTGTGATTCTTCTTCAACTGATAATCTTTATGCCTCGAAATTTTTTTCAGACGAGGAGAAGAGATAACTTACTTGTGTACGATATATTGGGGACCAGAGATAACTTACTTGTGTATAGTATATTGGGGACCATATTCTATATATATAGTGTGATGTCCAATTATGGTTCCCATTATTCTCAAATACATTCACTCATATTTGAGTTCATACCCAGTTATTTAATTAATTAATTAATAGGTTAATATCATTTTACCCCTGCCATATAAGCGACTTCCGGTTTACCCCCTTGTACTTTTTTTCCTGCAAATGTCCCCTTGCCATTTCAAGATTCCATCAATATACATCTTTGAGAGATCTGACACATGCCAAGTGCATATGTGTCAAGCTGAGTGGTTTTTCTTTTTTTTTTTACTTTTCATTTTTTTAAATGACACCTAAGCTTATTTTTACCACATCAGTAGTTATTTATGTATATATATTATTACATTTGCTTCTTCTTCTCCATATCATGTTTGCAGAAATTCCTCTTCAAATTAGGGCATGAAAATAGGTGGTAGCAGAAGTTCCTCCATTGCCAATTCAACCGGTAGTGAAATACTCAGATGTGGTTGCAACATTTCAATGAAGATGTTCGTGTCAAATATCCAAGAAAACCCTAGGAGGAAGTTTTGGAGATGCAAAAATTATGGAAAGGTAATTTCTATTTGTTGGTTCTAATTAGAGTATAGTAACATGTCTGATTCATATGAAATTTCTAATTGTAGAGTGAGGTAGCATGCGATTTGTTTGTTTGGGACGATGAAGTGGATGACCTCTTTATGAGCAGTCGAAACACAGAAGTTTTCAGAGGTGAAGAAATGGAGTGTAACAACTGTAAATTCACAATTGGGCATCTTAAAGGTTTTGCTAAAGAATATGGGAAGGAGTTTGGAATCGATTTTTCCAAAGAATATGGGAAGGAGGCATGTCCAAAGAAGGTTGAAAAGTTGAAAAAGATGGTGAAAATTGAAAAGGAAATATGTTTACAAAATATGTTTAATGTAATGTTTTTTGTTTACCATGTAGTGTTTTTTGTTTACAATGTAATGTACCATTTTGGTGTAATGAATGAAGGAGATGAATTGCATATAAAGTTTGGTCAATTTGTTTTTTACAAAGTCTGGTTAAAAGCATAAATGTCTTAACATAATTCATAACAAATTTAAAGTTTGGTTAACATAAGTCATAACATAGCTTAAAGGCATAACTGGCATAACTTCAAAGTTTGGTTAAAAGCATTACTTCAAAGTTTGGTTAAAAGCATAACTTCAAAGTTTGGTTAACATAAGTCATAATTGGCATAACATAACCATAACCATAAGTCATAATCATAACTGGCATAACATAACCAAATATTAAAATAAGTCATTCAATATAACAAATTCAACATAACGAAAAGCACTTGAAGTGCAACTGTCATAACATAACTGTAATTATAAGCACTCTGAGTGCTTCTGTCATAAGCAAGACCTAAACATAATCAAAAGCACTTGAAGTACAACTGTCATTACAATACACAAAAAACATTAAACTAATCAAGATTTCACTAAGCCCTTGAGATGTCACTCCAAGACTTCATTGCCCTGACACATGTCCCTAGCTTAGGGTCTAAGCCAACTTCAGCATGATCTTGAGTTAATGTACCCTTTTCATCCTCTTGACTGACCAGTGGTTCAACAATATTTGTTTCAGGTCCCATATGTGTCTTGGTTTTTAACACCTTCAACCTGTCACTTGATATTTTATATCCAACAAGTTTCATTTTTTTCTTGCCCTTGAGCTTGCTTATCTCTTTTGGGATTACAGTAGTGTCATCAACTTGTGCTTAAGCAATTGGTAAATCTCCTTGGTCAACAATTGGTACATCTCCTTAGTCAGCAACTGGTACTTGGATTTGGTCAACAACTGGTACTTAGACTTGGCCAGCAACTGGTATTTGGATTTGGCCAGCAACTAGTATATCTCCTTGCTGAGCAACTGGTACATCTCCTTGGTCAGCAACTAGTATATCTCCTTGGTTAGCAATTGGTGCATCTCCTTGGTCAGCAACTGGTGCTACTCCAGACTTTTTTCTTAGGAGCCTTCCTCTACATTTGAAAATGGAAGCCAAATCAACAGCAGGATATTAATATGAATAATTCAAAATATATTGAAATAGGAATGAGTTAATGTACCTTTCTTTTCAAAGCATCTGGATTCTAAGTTGTAGCCTTACATTTTCTTGAGTTATGACCAATTTTGTCACACTTAGTGCATCTATAGGTAACTCCAAGTCTCCTCATTCTTAAACCTCCCTCACCTAGTTCCCTGAAACTTTGCTTTTTGGGCCCGCCATGCCCTTTCTTGTATAAAGGAGGAAGTAATTCATCTGCTTCAATTGATGGCCATATATCCATCCCATTTATTGGGCTAATTGCAACACTATATACCAGTCCATATTTTTTTCTAGAGTAACAATCATCCACATAATCCTCAGGTTTAAGTTGCCTATAAGCCAATGCTGCACAAGCATGCCTACATGGAATCCCAACTAAATCCCAAAACCCACAAGAACATGTTCTTTTTCCCACATCAACAACAAATTATTGAGAATTTTATGCATGTTTTACCTCCCATCTTCATAAAAGTAATTCCCCTCCCATTCAGCACTGACCACTCAATTATTGCATCTTTGAAATTAGCCAAGGAATTAAATTCCATTCCCAACTTAAACTCATAATCCTTTCCAAGCTGCTCCTTCATAAACTTCTCATACCTTGGAATTTTTCATCACCTGATGCATCTGGATCAGAGCTACCTAACTCATCACTTGCATATTGGTCTTCATCCATCTCTACAGGTTCCTTTTTCTTTGGTGTCATCTTCTTCTTTCTTTTTGGTGTCATCTTCTGCTTTTTCTTTGGTGTCATCTTCTTCATGGGTGATTTACTGGCACACCTCTTATAACTATAGGACTTCCCATTAATTACAATTCTACATGAAGAGTGTTTGCTTTTCTCTACTTCAAAGTATTCAAAACCATCATCCACAACAGTTGTCCTCCCATCCTATGTGTCATCAAACCTAACATTTGCTGCTTCATCAACACTTTCTATATCACTTGAATCGGTTCTCACCCTCATCTCAATATATTTAGGCTTAACAACCTTATCTTTTATGTCCTTCAAATTATGTTCAACATAAATGTTCCCTTCAGTGCTATTACCTAAAGCATAATTAGCAACACCCGATGCACGGTGATCACTGTTAATTTCAATAAAATTTTCATCTATACCTTCTATTTTGCTCCAAACCCTAAATTCCACTCTAATGTGTCCCCATCTTAGTACCAGCTCCATCACTTCATCTATACCACATTCTTTGATATCTTGATTAGACACAGTAGATTGAACCTCACCCCTATAAAACATATTCTTCTCCTTAACAAACTCCCATCCATGATGAATAACAACACTGAACTTACTTATAATCTGTAACGGAAACCCTAACATCAGACTAAACCTAACACACGAAATCTCAAAATGGAAAAAAAGGGATGAAATTGTCATACCTTTGGACGCGAATCCATTTTGAAGTGATGGATGACGAGATGTTCAGCTGATTCCTTGAGTGATTCTGGGCACGAAATGCTACAATGAGGTTGCATGCACAACTTCAATGGTAGATCTCACATAGGTCAAACGGGGAGGACTAAAATGAACATTGCAAATATAACATTATATACATCAATAATTACTGATGTGGCAAAAATAAACTTAGGTGTCATTTAAAAAAAATGCCACTCAGCTTGACACATATGCACTTGGCATGTGCCAGATCTCTCAAAGGTGTATATTGATGGAATCTTGAAATGGCAAAGGGACATTTGCAAAAAACTTTTTTATAGGGGGTAAATTGGAAGTCGCCTATATGGCAGATGGATAAAATGGTATTAACCCTTAATTAATTAAATAATTTTTAAATTAAATTTAAATATCCTTTTAACATTAGTATTTGATCACTTAATTATTTAAGACACTTTATTTGATAAAATAGCTAATATAATTAAAACATATATTTCCCACATAATAATCATTGGAATACTAAAATTATATATATATATATATATATATATATATATATATATATATATATATATATATATATATATATATATATATATATATATATATATATATATATATATATATATTCCAACAATCTCCTACTTTAGTGATATATCTTAATAAATATATCATATTTCTTTAGGCGTGGATCCGAATATTATTTATCTTTAAATTTCAACTTTATAATTTGGTCCACCTAATACATCAATAATTGGACAACCGCGGTTGTCGTCACTAACGTATAACGTGACGGAACCCCGACGACCATCACATTAACGCATTGATGACATAGATTGATACAGATGAGTGGCATGGAAATTTCATACAATGTGATCTCTAAATCATGCATATTTTCAACTTGTCCTACTAGAATATTTAGTTAGATCAAACTAAATTTCCTTAAGTGCAATTCAAAATTACAATATTTGCACACACAAAAACTTAACATTGTTATAACAATAGTGCCTCATACATTTTTATTTCTACAAAAAATAAAACATAACATAAATTTTGTACCAAAACATAGAACATAGAAAATTAAAGAAAAGACCCTACTAATCTAAGGTAATCTCAAGATCATGACCCATGTGACCAACATGCCCATGAAAAGCCTTAGGTGTCAAACCTTTGGTTAGTGGATCAGCTAGCATTAAGTTTGTCCCTATATGTTCTATCAAAATATGCTTCTCCTGAACTCTTTCTTTCACAACAAGATATTTGATATCAATAAATTTTGATTTTGTAGAACTCATATTATTTTTGGAGTAGAGCACAACTGCGCTATTGTCATGATAAAGCTTCAATGGCCTTTCAATGCTCCCAACGATGTATAAGCTCGTGACAAAGTTTGGCAGCCAAATTATGTGATTTGATGCCTCAAAGCAAGCCACAAACTCTACTACCATGGTGGAGGGAGCCACTAAAGTTTGTTTGAAGACTTCCAGAAGACGACTCCTCCAGTCAAGAGAAAGATGTAACCATATATGGAATGTGTGTTCTCTGGCATCCTGCAAAATCTAAGACAGAGTACCCAATGACCTCCAAGTTATATGACTTTCGATAAGTGAGCATGAAGTCTTTCTTTCTCCTCGGGTAGTTCATTACACGTTTTACTGTTATCTAGTACTGCATACCAAGGTGGCTTAGATATCTACTCAAAAATCCTACAACTGAAGCATATAGAAGTTTATGCATCTCTTCCTTTTTAAGATTCATAGTGAGGCACTGCTTGAGATAAAACTTGTCTCCTTTAGCAACAGGCGTGTCTTCTGGTTTACTATCTTTCAGGGAGAATCCATCCAGAATTATATCAATATAGCTCCTATGTGACAATCCTAAAATACCTTGAGAACAATTTCTAAATATTTGAATTCTTAAGACAAAGGAGGCGCCCCCAAGATATTTCATCTCAAATTTATTTGTGAGAAAACTCTTGGTTTTGTGAAATGAGCTTATAGTGTTGCTTTCCAAAAGGATATCATATACATATAGTACAAATAAAATGAACTTACTCCCACTAAACTTTTGGTATACACGGTTATCAACTGGATTAGCCTCAAAACCAAATAAGGATATTACTTGATGAAATTTGTAATACCATTAAAGGGAAGCCTGTTTAAGGACATAGATGGACTTATTGAGTTTGCAAACCATAGGCTTTAGGTCTCTTGACATAAAGTTTTATGGTTGCACCATATATATTGTCTCTTCAATTTTTCCATTTATATATGTAGTCTTTACATCCATCTGATGCAACTCTAAATCAAAATGAGATGCCAATGCCATCATGATACTAAGAGATTCTTTCAAAGAAACTAGAGAGAAAGTATCTTTATAATTAATTCCTTTCTTTTGATTAAAGCCTTTTGCAACAAGACGAACTTTATACCTCTCAATGTTACCCTTTAAATCCCTTTTGGCTTTAAATATTAATTTACAACTAATGGGTTTATTTCTTTCAAGTAATTTAACAAGATCCCAAACATCATTGTTAACCATTGAGTTCATCTCATCCTTGTTGCACCCTAAAA